GTGCACGTGTGTTCCTGACCTGCCACGCTGCTGCGCCAACGACTGTGCCCAGTACCTGCATACAGGTGCAGATGCCTGCCTGGGCTGGCAGAGAGGGGTGCTGGCAGAGAGGGGTGCTAACCCCACCTAGTTCTCACCTAGCAGGACGTGCCAGCCAGAGGGACCACCGTTTAAACTCAGCTGAGCCTGCCCACCACCCAGCCTGGGGGAAAGAGCGAGCCCTGCTCAACAACAACAGCTTAACCCGCCTGCCCTGCCCGCTTCTGCCCCAGGCACTTGCCTGCTTAACCGTCTCCAGCACGACCGCAGGTGAGCTGACAGAAAAGGCGCTCCAGGCTGGGCACTGGGCAGAGCTGGCCGGGACCGCGTGGAGGGGGAAATTCAAGTTGTAGGCACGCTGGATCACACCGGTGTCCTGGAAGGTACCTGCAACACAAGAACCTCTAGCCAGCCTCTAGGCATGCAGTGCCAAGACATGCTCACCCCAAGGCTCGCTGGAGCATCCTCCAGCCTGTGCGTCCCCAGACAACCCAGCTCTGCCCATCGCTCACCCAGGTGAGGCATCACGGCGTAGGTGAACTGGTGGTGCGTCATGTCTGCCATGGCATCAGGGGACTTTGGTGCCCTCAGCCTACAGCAACAAGAAGCAGGTGAGACTGGCATCTCTGCAGCACCCTCTGTCACCGAGCGCAGAGCCAGAGGAGCTCTGACAACTGTCTCCCCCTGCTACCTCGAGACTGCGCCATGAGGTGGAAGCCAACATGCTGCTGTTTTTTGGCAGGAGCAAACAGAGCCTGGACAAGGTGACTCAGAAGCTAAAACTGACCTTTGAAGGGTGATTTCCTGTGAAACTTGTGGCTGATGGAGTGAAACTGAAATATGTAGTTTCTCTTAGCTTTGTACACACCCAGAACATTGCTGTTCCTTCCCTCTCCTTAAGCCTCCTCTCCTAGGGTATGTTTTGGCCAGGAACAGAGAAATTACTTAGTGCAAATGTGGATCTGATCTCTCCTGAACTATTTATGAGCATAACTCACAGGAATTACTTTATCTTAGTCAATTGTAACTAAGTCACCCAAAAGTTCTCAGATGACGGCCAGCCTCTCAGACTAATACCAGACTATTTCCTTATTAACTGGCATCATTTAGGACCAGGTGCTGCCTTGACTTCCAAGAAATACCTCAGAAGGCAAAGCGGCTGCTGTGGCTCCACCCTCACCCCAACCCGACTCACAGCGAGAGGCTGAGGACGTTCCTGTGGGCTGATGCTCCGTATTTGCAGTCGTTCAGCAGTGCCACCCCGAAGCCGTGCTCGGAGAGATCCAGCCACTTGTGAGTCCACACCTGCAGGAGGTATCGAGACATACTGACCACGCAGAGCTACCACCTAGGAGCAAACACAGCCCTACCTCGGGAGCAGCAGCTCGGCCCTGGGATGAGGGCCACCTTTCCTCTCACCTCAAATCGAGCCCAGTCCCAGGACGTGTTCCAGTGCGTTGGCCGCTGCAGGTGCCCAAACTGGATCTCGTAGGTGGCGTTTGTGCTCCGGACTTGCACGGGGAACTCCACCTTCAGGAACTTGTGAGCCTCCTTCCACTCAACCTAAACGTGGTAGCAGAAAACATCACCACGGGGGGCTGAGAAGCAGAGGCTGAACTTATCCTTCCCTGGTGCACAGTAGCCAGCTCGCATCCAGGCCAGACCAGGTACAAAAAAACTGCACTAGACTCTGAACACAGATGAACTGGCAGGTCTCTCTTCCACCCTGGTCCCTCAGGACCCTCATCCTTAGGCTGCCTTCCCCTAAGGCGGAGGAGGACAGGCAATGGGGGTCTCCAGGGAAGAAAATAGGAAGGGAAACGTAATTCAGATGCGAGGTTCAGCTCCCCAGGGCCCTGCCTGCACAGCACAGATGTCGGTATCGCGCGGCAGTCGCTGGCCAAACCTGGGTCTGGAAGCGGAGGTACGGGCACGTGGCGTCCAGGATGATCTCCTGGGTTAAGGTGCTGCTTTCCCCGATCCGCAGAGAGAAGCTCGCACTTCCCCGCAGACCCCCAGCCAGGGTGATTTCCAGAGGCTTCAGCAGCGTTGTCACTGGCTTCCTAGAAAAAGGGATAAAGGCAGAGCTGGTCTCAGCCTGGTTCCCAAAACCCAGTCCAGCCTCCCACGCAGCAGGCACTCACTTCTCTGGAGTGAATGCTCTGTTACAGCTTTTGTTACAGCTGGGGCTGACAGGGAGGCAAGAACCTCGGAGCAAAGACAAAAATCCGACTGCTGCGTGCACTGCTCCTTTACCTGGTTTCCAAGTGATAATCCATCACATCCCAGGCGTCCCAGTACAGAGGAACATCATCAAAGAGTGCAAACTGGTTGGCACAGCAGCCATCTGGGACTGACTCTCTGGAACAAAGCAGAACAGAGAAACAGCAGCGTAAGAAGAACTGGCCGTGGTGAAGGGCTTACAGCAAGAAGAAGACCCAAGAGAGGTTTGAGGAGCCTGGTTCTGGGAACTGGGTGAGACATACCTCTCGGAGTCCACCAGCCGAAGCGAGGTCAGGCGCCCCAGCGCATCGAGGCAGACTGCAATCACCCCATTCTCCATGGCAATGGCGCCGTCCTCCTGCGGAGGGAAGGACAGAAACAGCTTTTACAGACCCACACCTGTGGGAGCTGAGTGTCCCAACTGCAGGTACAGCGTGCGGGCTTGCGGCGTGCTGGATTCCCTCGATTCCTCCCCAGCCAGCCTTTGACGCAGGGCATGCCGGCCAGAGAACAGCCGCCGTTGTGCTCACCTGTCTCCTCACTGCCACAGGCTGAGGGGGCACCAGTGGCTCCCTCACTATAGCGTAGCCCATGCTGGGGACTGTCACCAGAGCTGGAAAGCAAAGAGGTTCTGTTCCAACATCTTCCCTGGACACACCGTGTTGCCCTGCTGCTCTTCATGTCAGATCTACCACCTCCTTTCCTACCCTCCTCTTCTTCATCCATACCTCAGGGACAACTTGAAGCAGGATCAGCCCCAAGCAGCCATCTGACAAGTCAGTAAACCCTCCCAAGGGCAGGGAGAGGCAGAGTATTTCTTTGCCAGCTGTCTCTGCCCCTGTAAGAAGTTCTGGTACACAAGTTACCCCCAAGCTAGACATACCTAAAGTCTCTGTTCCGGCTGGTCCAGTCCTGGAGATCACCTCAGTCCGTTCCCAGGGCAAAGTGTTCAACACGAGGGTGCTCTCGGTGCTCGCTGCCTTGGGCTGCAGCAGGTCCCCGCACAAGGACTGCACAGCTTCCTCCTGCAGCCGAGCACCAGTCCTGCGGATCTCTGAGCAAATAAAAGGCCCCAGTTGGACCCAGCCAGGCCATTTCTCACATCTGAGAGAGTTTCTGGCGCTCCCGTGCAATGTATGCACACCTTAGGTACTTCCAAGCTACAATTACTAATTGTCATTAGTATTAATTACTGTTATCTGTTAGTAAGTTAATTAAAGTACACTCTCCTATCCAAACTCCCTGCTCACCTGCGTAGTATTGCAGGGCATCCTCAACCACGAGCTGGATAC